AGATAAAGCATCCAAAGTATAGTCAATCCTTGGCAAGAGAAAAGCATCCTTCCTTGTGACTTCATTCACATTGCAATAGACCAAACAGGACCCCGTGGATCTTTCTTTTTCACAAGTACACTGGCAGATACCAAAGAACTTATACTCAGTTCTATTACTCCTTGTTTTTTAATGGCTTCTATTTATTTGAGAGGTTAGCCTGTTTTACAACTGAGAGTACTTGGCAAGCTGATGTATTGGGCTGCATCTCCTGTATTAATCTTATGAGATGCTTTATTTTTATGGCCTACATCATGAGATCCACTGGAGAAACTATATTTATATTCTATGTGAAAGTCATGTAATCTATGGCATTGATAAGTTGTAACACCTCTAAACCTTCAGTCATTCAGTTCCTTTAAAGAAGGTGGTAAGCTTTCTTCATGTAACATTTGATACCAGACTTCCTACATTTCATCTTAAAGGTATGTCTGATATTTTTTAATGTGGAATATTCCATCCATAAATAGCTTAGATTTCATGGCCCTAATGACTATATCTTTATTCTTTAGATCGAGTTCTTCCAACCAATAATCCCCCAGGACACACTACAGTTATTGTTTCTACTATGCCCCAGTCATTAGACTTAAATTTATTCCTATTAAATCCTGATATAAGAATTTCACTTAATGGTAGTAAAATAACTGTCCTCCTCCTTGTTTCTGGAAGTTCCACATCTGATATATTTTTACTTTCAATATAAAAAGTCTTCTCTTGTACATAATGAATCCCACTTTTTCTCCATAACAATCTTAATCCCGACTAGATTGGGGTTGGAGGATATTTTTGTAAGCCAAAAATTTTTACACCTGTGTGGCCAGTCCAAATTGACAACCAAACAGGATGAGCATGTTCAGTAACAGGGAATCAAACTTGCTACCCTCAGACTATGAATCAAGCATTCTAGCTACCAAGCCATGCCAGGTCACATACTGTGGCATTTATAACTTTGGACCATACGGAGCCACTGTCTACCATAAAGGTCATTTTGCACCACTACCTATACACTTTCAACTGTGAAAGCAGCTAATATATATATCATGGGTTTTCTTTCTATAGGGCAGGGGTAAAACCCAACCCTAAACTCAATTCCCTACCTCCCTAGATTTTTTATTTTATTGTTTCTAGATTATAGCTTTCAGTGTGACAAAGATATCTGTGGATGCCCCATTTCTGATTTATTTTCACTAAAATAATCCCATTCCTGACACCAGTTATAATTATATATGTTATATGCTTATATTGTTGCATAGTATCTTTTTGATTAGGTGGTAAAATAATGCAAAGTCTAGTCCACTTAATGGAAGGAAAGTGTTTGTTTTATTTTGCTCAAATTAAAGTGTTACAAATTATATGTTTTCATGAACTAACATAACCAAACACTAGGGCTAACTCACAAAGAATGCTTGTCAATCATTTGTTAAATTTCCTCTCATATCTATCTACAACATTGAATTATATTAAATCACCAATTACTCAATGATTAACTCAAAAACAGCTTGATTGTGTTTTTCTAAAAAAAAAGATTTTCCCCAAGTCTACAAAATTCAAAAGTCACATGGTTATCAGGTAAATCCTAATCTAGAACTCACTTTGGAAAAAGCAATACAAACATCTAAATCAAAATATGTCTGCCACAAAGGTCATTTTGCACCATTAATTATTCAATGAATAATGAAACGGAATTGGAAATGCAATGGAACCAATACATAAAATCTAATTTCTAAATTTTAAATACATAGTGATTGTTTGAACTTTTATAGAGATGACTAATGCTTTCAATCAGAATGCTACTTTAACTTTTTATATATGACACCAAGTCTGCATTAAGGCTCACACATTTGAAAGATATGCATACAAGTTCTTTTTTGTCAACACTTTCCATAAACAAGCAAGTAAAAATTGCACTCTTGTAAATTGTTTGGAAAATCTACCTTACTGCTTGTACTTTGTTACTTTGTTAGGGCAAGCAATTTTGAATCTAACTATGCAGACTGCACTTGAAAAAACTACCATTTTACTGATCATGTCATAATTGGAAATCACAGATTGCTGATTATTATAGCATGCAACAGGCCAGAGAATGTACTTTGAAGCTTCATTAAGTTTGAAATGGTTGAAGTTACCAATATATGTGCCAGTAAAAACAGAAACAATCTCTTTTCCATTTGTTATTTGAACGAGTGTAAAATAAAAATGGACACTGACCTTCTGGCTAAAACATGATCGATACATAATGTTATGTAACAGTCCTGAGAGACAATTTGTTGAGGTTCACTGCCTAAATCCATTATGCTTTCATCTAATGTGTTTATATCTCAGCACTTACACTGTCACTTGGCATTAATCTAAAATCACGAAATATTAGGTTTTACTGTTGATAAAGATGTATAAACTCCCCAGTTAGTTACATTAAATGTAATCTCCACAAGCAGGGCAAACACCCCAGTTGAGGAAAGTTTCTTTCCTTTAAAAACTAAACACCTGCTAATAAATGTTTTTTTACAGGTGCAATGGGCAGTTGTTTACAACAAATGCACACCGTCATGATTCTTGTTTTGAACCATTTGCTTCTCTACTCAAAAAGTCTAAAATATCTACTTTTTTCTCATTCAGAAGCAATCCAACTAATCAGCAATCATGTTTGTCAGGCTACAACTAACTTGAAGGTAATTTCTTGGAACTATGCACATTCATAAATAACTGGACTGTCAAATGACAAAATGTAATGCTCCATAGCTGCTTATTAGGTTAGTTATTTTGAAAATATTTGTATATACTTGTTTACCACTTTCAACTTATAGTGACATCTCTGACATTGAAATTCACAATTCAAACAATTGACAAAACCCCTATTGGAAAGTAATGGGACATTACAAATTTTCAATTATTTTGTTATCACGCACTCTTTGGCTACCTTCCCAAACAATGAGCTAATACACAGTGTGGTACTAATGGGGAGCCACATAGCGTATTATCCCGAGAACTTCGTGTAGACCTCAAGTCAGTACACAGTGTGTATTAGCTCTGTGAATGTGTTGTTATCGACCATTTGCTAATGTATTATCAGTAAAGAAATGGGTGTGCTTCAAGATGTGTGGAGCACTGTGTTTTAACCTTTCTTTCATTCAGTGTGTCAACTTATGTAAATAAACGAGAAACAGACAGAGATTGTTTAACTGATGATATTTTATTCTAGGGTGGATGATGTTTTGTGCCGAAAGAAAAAGTAAAAGTACAGGGTTGTGACTGTAAACATACTTACAAATCAGAAATTGTTGCTGTGAATAAAGTGGCCTGAGTGGTGTTATTCTTAATTTCTCCACAATCAGAAAATTCAACAAAATCTGATTGTCACCCAATTATGCAATAATTGGCCATACTATCTGGAAAATACTGCATAATATAAAATAATAAGTTTAAATGAACACGAAAAAACAGGAATAATTATGCAATTCTCATGATGGTCTCTCAAACATTTTCCACATCTTTTTCATTATTTAATTTCACCAGAAAGGCCAGCTATCATCCATAGAGTTAAGGAAGAGCTATCTAACATCTTTCAAGATGGTTGTCTGGCAGCTGACAGGATCACTGATCAGCTTCTGGTGATGCTCCACTCACTTTCAACAAGTGACTTTGATCCCATACCAGCTATCCATGTTTGGAACTCAGGATTATTTTGCACAAGAAGACCAAATACTGGCATGGTCCAGATTGAGAAGCAGGTGCAGGAGAGTGACGAAGGAGGAATCCAGGAAATGAATGTTGGGACATAATTGGACACTGACAATGATGCATACCTAATTTCCTTTCATTATTTATTTTGATTAGGAAAGGACACTAATTTTAGTTTAACTCATCACCACCTAAGCCATTTTACAGCTATTTGCACGTGTTCCATATGTTGCTAATTTAAGGATTTTGCTTAATACCAATTCAAATTTATGAACAACTATGAAAGAACTGATCACTATAAAGTTAATGGTGATGTAAATTGTATGATTTTCCATCTACCCATCCAAGTTTTGGACATTTTATTAACCAATATATCAATAATGGTAATGGATTAAATGGGAACAAGAACAGATTACACTGACAGTAATGCAAAGACTTCTTTTGATTAGAAAAGGGGAATAAAGAGTTATTGTTATACCATGCTTTGGAAAGAAATCAAAAATAATATATGAAATAAAAATCACTTAAGTGGTTTGAAAAAAATAAGTTGTTTGACTTTTTTTTCATGAAATACAAGTTTACAACAAAATAAATTGAGATATGTTGATATCTTTAGTTGCCTTTCAATTTAAGTAACATCCTATAATTAATTCAGTAGTTTCTCTGATAACCTCCACTATAGAGCACATTTTACAATAAGCTATAGGATTGGCCCCTAAAAATGCATGTTTTTGGGGGAACTGGCTGGCTCCCTATAAAAAGAGCATAAGCACTGTTGATATTCATTTTATAATGTTCTAGAGGATATGCAAATGAAATATGAAACTGTTACATGAAAATAAGTATTTTTATTCACAGATTGAAAATCAACTTTCACTCTGACTGACTCAGTACGGTCTTTGGAAATTCACAGACAAATCTCAGTAAAATCACTATAAAACATATCTGGTTTTTTGTATAAAATAGATTTTTAATGTTTACTAAAAACTTGCCAAATTTTGTAACTATACACATAATAATTTCAAAATTATATTAAACATTACCAAGTACAGCTTCACAGATATAGCAGGAGTGACTGTCAGTTATAACATTCTCACAGCTAAAAGTGAAGTGTATAAATAAGCATCACTGATAGTTTAAGCCTCAGACCTTCCAATCCATAGCACAATAAAAATTGGGCAAAGTCCATCCCATTCAATCTTGTTGACCAAGATAAGGAGAAGTAATTAAATTAATGTCATTTCTACCATCAAATGGAAACCAATACTGTTCAATAAGCTTACCTTAATTCTGCCCCCACTCAAGGTTTCACTCAGTTTAAGGCGAGCATCAACAACTCTTTTTAAATCTCTCTGTAGTCTTCTTCCAAAATCACGAAACATAGTTGATCCACCAGACAATACAATATTCTGAAAAAGTATTTAAACACTTGATTTGGAGATCTCCAATACAGCATGTTAGGTATTACCTCTATAATTTTAAATCATTGCTTCAAATACTTTATTATATGTCAGACATATTATAACTAATACGTACATTAATGTACATTGCCCATTATATTGTTGTCTTTCCTCAGGCAAAGCATAATTTTCATAACCTTCAATCTTGTTTGGTTACAGAGTCAAATAGAAAATAAGACCCCTCTTGCCAAACCCACTCATACAACCAACAGAAAGCCAAGGTTTTCATATACCAAATGACATATAATATTACATTGTTTTCTGTAGAGAGAATTGTAACTTTCTCTTTCAGTACAAGCTTCATCATTCCCACAGGAGGCACATCAACTAGCTCAGATGAATTTGTAATGGCTCTTGTCACATAGTTAAAAGAGAAAAATTGTTATAGTTATGAGACATTGTCTGACTTTTTGCATGTTGTTATTCTAAGTTCTTTGGTGCATTATTTAATTAAATAAAAAAATCATTTAGTGCAGTACTACTATTAGTATAAAAAAGTAGGCTCAAGTATCATTGGCAGTTGACAGCAAAAAAAAAAAAGCCCCAAGTAAGCACTATATTTCTTGTTTTTCATGTGCATTCTTTATTATTCTAAAAGTAACTAAAATGTAAAAACAGAAACTCTTTAGAAACTCTAAATTAGAAGGTTATTAATGTTCAAATTTCTGCATTAATGTTTTGGTCTTAAGCTTATAAGACAATTATTCTTTCTGATGTTGGCTTAAAAACCAAAATGTAACATATATATGTAAACACTTCTTGTTGTTTTTTTTAGGGGGGGGGATAAAAGAAATAGTGACTCAACACATTGCAAAAAAAGATAACATCCCATTTGTTCAAGTGTAAATATTTCCTTGTATAACTATAAAGTTTATCACAGTACCTTGTATAGTGGTCTTCTAACATCAATAGGGCAGTTCTGGATACAAGTGTCCACAATTTCAGAGATAGGAGTCATAAAGTCTGGATTAGCAAACTAAATGAAAACACATTAAATATGTTACAACTTTAAAAACAGATATCAAAATAAAAGAAAGGAAAAATATATACAGCTTCAAGTCTGCAAGTCTACTTCTGCAAGTAGTTTTCTATCAAGATTAAAAGGAAGATATAATTTCTGGAACTGGAATTAAAGATATAAAATGCATTTGCTGTTGAAATAAAAACAAGTGGTATTCACAGGTGTAACTAATTTCATACTTTTTAACAGGAGGATCAACCAGGATAATCACAGGGTAAATCTGAATAATTTAGCCAAATGACCAAGTTTAATCCAAGGGAATAAACTGACCGGACACATGGTGTAAAACAATCTTTATTACTAAAAGCACAAATACTGTATACATACTTGCATCAGAACACTGGATCACAATCTAGTGAACCAATGAATCTGTCAGCAGTTGTAGTCTATAGAGATTTCTTTCTATTGACTAACTCACATTGAAAACCAAGTTAAACTGAGTCAACCTAATGTTCCTCACTTAACTACCCATGCTTCTGATCTTTCTCATATAACATGGTAAAGGTCATAACCTTTATATATCATCTACATGGCCAATGAAAAACACTGCTGTTGTTGACTTGTTTGAACAATGTGCAAAGTTGCAGCAAATATCCCCATGGGCATTATCTTATAGAGTACAAAAAGAAACAAAAGTAACAATAAGAATAACTCAATGGTTTTCTGGACCACAAAAAAAAAAAACTACGCACAGAATCAGATTACATGAACAACTATGAAAATTCCAGCATGAATATATGAACACGGAAAACACATAGTATGCTTGTATATCACAATGTGTGGTATTCGTGTCTACTGACATCCAACTGAAAGTCTTAAATATCCAAAATACACTGGAGGTTTAGGAAATATCCAACAAAGAATAAAGTGAAGAAAGATGGCATTGGGGAAAAAAAAAAAAGCACATGTATATAAATGAAACAAAATTTTTGTTCAGACAACAAATAACTGCTGTTTTTTTTTTAATAAACTAGTCAGCAAATTCTTATTTGTGAAGAAAAAGAGGCCAACACTAGAATAGGAGTAACAATGATGCCACACTTACAAGTTAGACAAAACACCTAGTAGAGAAGCCCACAATTAGAGGACACTCAGGTCAATGATTATTCCCACTATAAATTTTTAAGGAAGTAAACCCCAAACATCATAACATTCATAAGTTATTTTAGCATCCTATTAACCCAATGACCACCGGCTACTAAATCTCTGAATAGCCAATGCAAGTCTTGCTATGTGTCATTCCAACAATAAAACTAGTCAACGAAGTTGTTTGAAACATCATAAAAACTTTCATATATGCATGTAGTTTAAGAAACATAAATCCTGTTACTTTTGATAAATTTAGTTTTTTGGCATTATGATATTTAATATCTTGGAAAATTACATTAGGAAATGTAATTTGAGCTTATTACTTTTATATTTTACTACATTATTTTAAAATCCATAAAACTTTTAATTGTCCATAAAATACAAATTTTGTCTATTTAAATTTTTTTTTAATAATCACATACTCTCCTTATGGTTTCAAGTAATATACAAGACCTGAAAATAATTTGTAAGTAAACCTAAACAATAAACAAGTATTTTTATTTTTAACTAGGATTTCATGTTTATATATGTACATAAAAATTTTTAATTTTGTCTCATAAATGTATTTTTTATTTCATTGCAGCCGTACTTTTTTGTTTATTGTGCCGAATAAACCGTGGGGTTACCATGCCTGTTGGTGGTCACTCTCGTTCATTCAAGCACAGGCGCATTTGAACATTACTGTAGATATGATAGTAAGAAAGCTTTTTGGTACTTGAATATCATTTTTTGAACTTTTAAACAAGGTT